TCTGGCCACCCTGCGCCCTGAGGGGCCGCCTGAGGCCTTTGGCCCCACTGCACCGCCGTACGGCCAGCCCCACCGGCACCTCGCCACCAAGAGCAAGACTGAGGTCACTGTCTGACGGCCAGCACCATCGTGGCTGACAGCCTCCCCCGGGTGTGGTGCACCAGAGCATCATAGGTCCTACGCAAACCACAACGGCTGGTCATAGCGGGAGACATACAGTCCTTCCTCCGCTGGGGATCAGAGCTGTCGGCTTTACCTCACCGCTGAAGAGGCCAGGCCGTCCCTCTCATCTGGACAATGAGTTTCAGCTGTTCTCAGCCCACCCCAGGAAAAGGCTGAGCCAGGGGCACATTGCCAGAGTGGGGTGCTGCTCAGGGGTTGGGGGCCAATGCCGGACAGACTGCAGCCCCCAGGGATGGGGGGACACATCGTGCTAGGGCCTGGCACCCCCGCTAGCCCCCAGGACCAGGCAGGGGAAGAGCAACGGACTCAAAGCACCATCCCAGCGCTGCCAGCAGAACCCGAGCAGCCTCCTTCCCTCCCCAGCCTCCCCTTCCCCGCTGCCCCAGCCTCCACCTTGTCAATAAATAATACACTAAACTATGTGGCCTTGATATGGATTGGCTGGGGAACCTCACGCTGCTCCCAAAACTCCAGCCCCTTCTCCGCTGACAGCAAAGCCCACTCCCACAGGGCCCAGGGAACACCCCTGATGGGGGACGTGGTGGGAACACAGCTTCCAGGGCCAACTGCAAAACCCTTTGAGCAGCTATGCAAAAACCAAACATATCTCCTCTGAAGTTTAATGGTTCTGACAGAGTTTTACCAGGGGAAACAGAAATGAAGAGATGGAGCGAGAGGACGTTGTTCCAAGCAAGGTCAGGTAAAAGCTTTCCTCCCACATAGTTACTCCTAAAATTGCAGGCTTGTGGCCCAACTCCACTTTGCTTGGCTCTGCTCAAACCATCAGCCTCTTGGGTTGCTTCCAAACAAGCACAGAGACACCATACTTGCTCCACCATGGGACCACCTTCCCTTGCAAGGCCTACAGTTCCATTTTTCAGTTTATCTGGACAAAGGACCAACAGCTTCCCAAGGTGCTTGTGTGATTGGATGTCTCTGAAGGACATCTCAGGCTCACCTATGCTTAAGAGCAGCTTCTGGGTGGGATGAAGAGGGTTGATAGAAAAAGGGCAAGGGGGGGAAGGTGATAACGTTTGCCTTTATTAGGTAACAGATGCTCACAAGCCCTGAAACAGGGTTTTCAGACAGCAGATATGTTCCCCGAGGAACCTCCCCACCACCGGTTGCACCTCATATCACAAAGCATCCCTAATCCAAAATCCACGTGGATAAATAGACTTTCTTCACATAATCCGTAAAACAATTTCCTCCCACCCGCAAACAAAAAAAAGTTACTTGTATATATACACACACACACATATAAAAAAAGTTGTAGGGACAGACGGGCAGCAAATTTATGAACAGGGTAGAAAAAAGCAGGGCAAAGATCCCTTGCCCTGGAGGGGAGATAAGTCTCAGCAGTGCTAGGACCCTCCGTGGATGGTGTCATTAGCTACCGGGGTTTCAGCCCAGCAGCCTCCCAGCCCCCGGCCCAGGCAGTACTCCCTGCAGCCCATCCCACAGGACTTGGTCCACCACTACGTGACCAAGCGAAGCCTTGCTTCCCCTTTTACTAAAGCACAAAACTTCCCACGCGTTGCACGCAGATCTGAGGAAACATGAAGTAACTCAGAGGTTGATCACAGGTAAAGTGTTTCTGTATTTAAGGAAAAAAGCCCATGAGCAGGAAGACAGTGCAAAAAACACTTAGAGAAGTAGGAGGATGCGACCCACTCCCCCCAAAGATGGGATCACTGATAAACTAGAACGCTTGGGATGGGCCATCAAAAGCCACCCACACCCAAGAGCTGTTCTGTAAAGAACAGCCTGCCACTGCCTGAACCAGAGCATCCCCTAGGCTGATCAGACACGCAAGTGCCACCTCTCCTCCTCAAAGGATGAGGTCCCCTCCAACTGCACAGCCCACTGGGGCTAAGGCTCCACCAGCTGTTCCCCAAATAAAGTGAGGGAGAACAGGAAGCATATTCTGGTCCCCACACTTTTGCGTGCGGCTATGGTACAGGGTCACTGGGAAGGGGCTTTGCTGGGAAACAGGTTTCTCCTGGCCCCAGTTTCCATCTTGTTGAAGCCAGACTACTCTAGGACTAGCACTAATCATGTTTAATTCCTGCAGCACATTAAATCCTCCTCACAGATGCCAGAAGACCCCATACAAAGTGAGACAACAAGCCTCCATCTTTTTCCCCTCCTTTTGAAAGGAGCTCTCGTGCCTCTCTGCAAAAGCTGGATATGTGTAGAAGCTTCTTGCAAAACAGCCCAAGTTCTGATCTTACAGGAGGAATCGGGCTGTATGGGCCTGACTGGGACAGAACTAGGCTGCTGCGCACAGCTAAGTGCTTCTAGCTGCCGACACAAGCACATGCCGACTATGCACAGGGAGAAACAGTGCCGCCCACCTGCTAAAGGCCCATTTCCGTATCTGCACACGTGAGAGGGCAATTGTTTTGCACTTCTTTGGAGAGATGCAACAGGAAAGGCAGAGAGAAAGAGGGCAAACCGTTCCTTCCCTGTCCCCGATCCGCCTCCCCCTCTTGGAAAGTCACAGGCAATTCAACACCTGCCAAGTCAAACTGCTCTGAACAGCAATGACAATGGAGCTGGGAGCCTCGTACCCTGAGCCAGTGCCTCCCAGTCCCTGCAGGAGCTCATGAGCTGTTGAGCAGTTGGAGAAGGGAAGGAGAAACACCTGAAGGACAAGTTCTGGGACTGGGAGTTGAGTAAAATAAAAAAAAATATAGTTTCTAAAAATTGTTTCTGCATCAACAGAAAGGCACCAGAGAAGCATTCACCCTTCGTGCAGAGTGCAGGGCGCTGCACCTCCACCTCTGCCACCACCCGGTGCCAGATGACCATGGACTCCAGGGCCTCCTACAAGGCTCTGCTTGTTGTAGGCTGCCACAAACCCAACCTCCTGCCAAAAACTGGCGGCAGCTCTGATCACAGGAAGGAGAGGTATGAAGTGCAGAGGAAGGGAAATCTGCTGCATCGTTCCCTACGTTTTTGTAAAGCCACAAACACTCCTATAAAAAACATGTATAAAAACCGTAGAGAAATTTGCTGGGCAGTACTGGCCCCAAGTGATACTCCCAGAGCACCTCGATAAGTCAGGTCTAGGGGGCTTCAGTGAAAAAGCAGTTTCTTGATGCACACACAGCTCAAGGAAAGCTGGTGCCTTCCCCCTCTCTCTCAGGAACGGCCCCAGATCCCAGCAGCCACATGGGACAAGGCTTGAGCAGATCCTCTGCCCTCCCCAAAGGTTTCTTTCTGCAGAGGTGTTTGGGAAGGGAACAAGATGCCCCTGAGGACAGACACTGCATGTGCCACTTCTCTATGCCTTGGGCTTGGGGGCTTCTACCCCCAGCAGGGATGGGGGCTCTGGGTTGGGGCAGCACTTCCCAACAGCCCCAGGCACAGTCGCAAAAACACAACTAGACAGATTCCTGTTGCAGTGCCTGAAAACAAGCAAGGAGGCTAATAAAGCTAAACCTGGGGCAAGGTAAAAAAAAAACCAAACCCAAAACCCAAACCAAAACCATCCCTCCCTCTCCCACCCCATCGCAGCCCTAACCTAGCACTTTTTTTTTTTTTTTTTAAGCTCCAGAAGGGAAGTCCAGGCTGACAGTTGACCCGGCTGTTTTTGCATGAGGCAGCCCCACACCAGCATTAGGAGGCGGCAATGGCTGTGCCTCCACTCAGCTTGACAATCATCTGCTGGCAGTCATTGCAGGAGCGCTTGTCTCCCACCTTCTCCAGCGTGCGGGCAGCCTCAGCCAGCAGGACCGCTCGCTGGCCCGGGGAGGAGAGGAAGGAGAGGGGGAGATGGCGGCAGGCCAAGAGGATGGCTGTGGCTCGCTCTCTCTGGCCCGGCAGGGTGTCCAGCTCACCTACGCACAAAGAGGAGAGAGAAAGCTCACAATGAAGCTACCACCTGCATGACAAAACCCCGCCATGCGAGCCCTCGATTGGCATTAGTGAGTACAGGCATCTCTGGCTGGCATCCCCTGGCTGTGCCAAGAGGGGGGGCACTCTGTGGACCCCCAAGCAGCTCCTATAGGCTAGCAGAGGAGAACAGTCTGAGCTGGAGTCAGGCAGGGACCAGCAATCCTGTCTTCTACAGAGACGGTCCCTTTCACTTCACTTCCTAGGGCTCATCCCAGCACCGGCATGAACATCTGCCTGTTTCCTTAAACCCCCAAGGGATTTTATAACCAGCACCAGGTCTCCTGGCTCTCCCCTTTAGGATTCCTGGCTACTCCTTTGCATTGACCGCTCCGAATCCCAACCTGCCAAGTTCTGTGCATGCACGGCTGCACGAAGGCAAATATTTTCCAGCCTGCCCTCCAACACCTCCAGCCCAGGGCTGGCAGCTCACATTAACCAGCTTGTAGAGAGTGTGGCAGAAGCATCACCATGAGCCATAGGCTGACGGGAGCTCGTTATCCTGAGCCTCAGATATGGGGAAGATGCTGCAGGTTGCGGCTGTGCCCCCCACCTTGCCCAAGCGCTGCCCCCTCCCAGCCCCACAGGCAGTGGGTCGCTGCCCGGGCCCCGGGGCTGACCTTGCTTGCTGCTCTGGGGTGTGCGTCGCCTCAAGCTGTGTTCCAGCAGCTGGTGGGTGCGGGTAGGGCTGGCACCCGCCATCAGGCGCACAGTAGCCTCGTGGAGGAAGACCTGGAAGGGAAGGCAGGATGGGGGGGGGTGAGAGGCAGGCTGGCACAGGGGTGATGCTGCGGCTGAACTCACGTCATCCCTCAGCCACCGTGTTTCAAGAGCAGAGCACTGACACCTTGACAACAATGGAGACCCACTTCCCCACTCCTCCCTGATCTTCCCACCTGTCTCTGGGGAATTTGCAGGTCAGGGCAACCGTGAAAAAGAGCTTTTGACACATAACTGTGAGTGGCCTGGAAAAGGGGAGGAAGGAGAGCAGAGAACAGGGTGGAAAATGAGAGAGCGAACACTGGCACTGTGGCCTAATGGGCATCTCACCCCAACAGCATCAAACTTTGAAATCCAGAGTTTGGACACTACCAGGACAATTCTCTCGTCTAAGTATTAGACTACACTTCCTCTACAGAGGCTTAAAACTAGATAGACTAAACAAAACAGAAGGGGGAAACACACACACCCCCACACCCTTGAAGCACCTGGTGCTCTACAGGTGCAGAAGGCCTCTGACCCCACAGCTACCCGCAGAGCAAACACGACCAAGGAAGCCTCCTTCCACACTCCCTGAAGGGACTGGCCCGGTCCAAAGCCATGTTAAGGGCCAGGATGCCACGGTACGTGCTTGGCAATACAGACATGCCCATGGTTTTATAGGTAGAAACTAAGGTGGACACCTCCCCACATGCACCAGACTCCCATGGGAGCCCCCTTATCGCCCACCAAGAGAAAGTATGGAGGCTACTGGTGGCAGACCATCCCACCTCAGGTGTCCAAACCACTCAAGCTCATGCACACCCCACAATTCCAATGGCTGCAGCTTCCCCATTAACCCACCCCAGGAAGGGCTATAGCTAAGCTGGAGGGAGAGCAGGCAGGGGAGACAAGCCATCACCTTGCGATAAGCAGGCCTAAAGCCGTGGGCCAGCTTGCGCAGGCTGCCGAGGTCGCGCTGGAAGCCCGTCAGCTCGGGGGCCGAGGCGTGGTAGGTCTCACCCAGGGCCTGGCTGGCGTTCGCCTGCTTCTGCCACAGGCTGGTGCGGAGAGAGAGCAGCAAGTCACAGGCCAGCAGCTGGATCATCTGCAAGAGCCAGGGGGCCCGGGCACACACGCTTATTAACACAACCCATCAGGCGAATAACAGGCCATTTGCTACACAGCTGCCGACACAGCCCACAGGAGGGTGGCCATGGCACCTCCTGCCCAGCCGGGGGGGGCTCCCTGGCCCTCCCAGCTGAGCCGCCCCCACCACGAGGCACCGAAGGGAGCAGGACTTTGCCTTTCGCCCAAGTGGTGTCTCTGGGGCCGGGCACTGAGAGGTCCGGCCTAAGGAATGAGTGCCAGGCTATGCCCAAGGAGCAGCTGTCCCCTCCAGGAGGGCCAACAGCCTCCACAGGGCCGACCCTGAGCCCACCCCAGGCAAAACGTGCCAAGGGGATGTTGCACCGGCAACGCCCCAGCCTTCTGCAAAGGCTCTCCTGCCCAAGCGGCAGCTCTAACTAGTGAGAAGCAGCAAAGACAGCCTTGCTACCTGCAGAGATTAAAAAAAAAAAGGTAGTCTTTTTTTTAGAGCGGCTGCCCAAATCCTTTTTCCCCATCTGCTGCTGCCCCCTAGCATCGCTCGCCGTCCTAGTTGCTCTTAGGGGACTCTACCCACGCTGCCGAAGTGGAGAGTGCCTCTGTACTGCACTGCAGAAACATTGCACAGTTACTGCCACAACATGCAATGCAACTACAATGCACTACAGCTGCCACCCAGGAGTGACAGAAGGGACCAGAGCTGTGTCCCATATACCATGCAGGGCAGCTCCAGCTTCAGGTAATCCTGGAAAGAAGAGAAACGAGCCCCACGCAAACTCAGGAATAGCACAGCCCAGTCCCGCTTTTGCAGTAGAGGGTTCAAACACTTGCGAGTGCTGCCTGAAACAGAGCAGGCTCGACTTAATGAGGTCCTGCATTACGGGTGTCAGCATCTTCATTTGAGGATGGAGATGGGATGCTTTCCATGGGCCAAATTCAAAGTGGTCAAAGCACCAGAAAGGGGTGACAGCTACTGGCAGGAGAGGAGCAAGGGCTCAGCTATCTGAGACCATGCCCAGGGAAACGATGTTGTACTTGCAGCTCTGGTCCTCCATACAGCAGAGGCAGAAAGATGGTGATACCCTTTGCAAGGAAAGGGAGGAAGCTTCCCCTCTACTCCCATGAGACACAGGATGGATGGAGAATGCAGATACAACAGGGAAGTGATACACCTGCAGCAAGATCAACCTTACGACCAAGACAGGCCATGCGTTATCCCAGGGCTTATAGCTCTTACATTGTTGAGGACGGTGCTGGAGACGCCGCTGCTCATGTTGAGACTGTTCCATAAGTGACTGCTGGCCCTCTCGCAGTGACTCAGGGAGCTCTGCTGTCCGTCTGCCTTCCCAGAGAGTGAGGCCTGCATGGCTCTGCACACGTAGAAGGTGGCTTTCACCAGGGCATTCCTGAAATAGAAAGAGAACATTGCTTTCAAGCAGTACCAGGTCACGCTGCCACAGGGCAGCCCCAGGAGCTGAGCTCAAGCAGCATCAGCTTTCATCTTCCTGTCTTCAGGAGCAGAGATATCACAATTTCTTAGCTAGAAAAAAGATGGAAATTGCTCCTCACCTACATAGACTGCACAGAGAAAGGGAAGGAAATTGGCAAAGGTGTTTTAGTGGAAAAGAACCAAGATGATGACACCAGCCTTTCCATCAGTACGTGAGTTTTGTTTGATTTTGGAAGGTGGGAGGCTGTGCAATTATAACAAAGCCAAAAGACATCCCTAAAGAAGCAATTCTGACACTTCCAGTCCACAGCTCTAATATCAGCCTGTAAGCCTTGACCTACACGTCAACTGCCGAGCACATTCGCGTGTCGTGTTATTGCGTCCCAAAGCACAAGAGGCGCACGACTCCAGAGCATAGGTAGGGGTAGCCCACAGGACAGCATCGGGGAAGAGCCACTCCCATTGAGAAGGAGTAGAGGGTTGAAAATCGTACGAGGTCTACGTACTCTGACATCTCCAGGGATTTCGGCATGCGCTCCACTTCTGCAAAATGTGACCTCACAGCTGCATCGTCCCCTCTGAGCCAACCAATTGCCATAGCCACTGCTGCTGACCACCATCTGCACACCACGTCAGGGCCTGCAAAACAGAATTATTAGCTGCAGCCCAAGAAAGGACACCCGGCTCCTTCCCGCTCAGAGAAGGAAACATGCTGCAGGAACATGGAGAGGCTTGCAAACAGCCTACACCTGACTGCAGAGTTTTGGGTGCTGAGTTTGTATTTTGTCAAGAAGAACTTACACCGTCTACTTGTCTAGAAATCTGTTGATTTTCTTCCTGACAGGGATCTCCACTCAACACCCCAAAGTAACAACTCTACTCGTATATACTGTGCCTTGGCACTAAATCACCATCAAGCTAGTAAATAATACATCAGGTTCCTCTGCAGCACTTCCTCCATTATTTCACATCTCCTCAAAAACTTCCCAAAGCCTACCTAGGGCCAAAGGACATAGGCTCTGCTACTCTGAGCTGCTTTCAAATTTCATGACAATATTGACCCAAATACAGACTTTCCTCTATACAAAAAAAATAATCCCTTGATAAAGAAGTGTCTAGTTTTCCTTCTATGTTTGCTCTACACATTTTAGGTACAGCAGTTAGTCTGTGTCTAAAACTCCAGCTGCCAGGTACTGTCTGTACCAACACCAAACAAGACAAATGTTCCAGCAGCCTGCTACAACCAAGCCCAGATGAGTGCATGGCTCAGAGGGAGTCTACAGCTCTCGTTGTCCCGCTAAATATACACCAAGGGATCAAAAAAGTGCTTCCCAATAGATGTCCAGAGCTTGTCTACAGCAGGAGTTGGAGGTCTCTGGAGATTGAGGCATATACGTGACAGCTGATGTGAAAGCATGGTCAATCTGTATTTGGTCCAATAGGTAATTAAGTGGAAAAAACCCCCCTCTGTCCTGCACCTCTACTGTGACACTGCTATGTTGGTTTATATCGCTCTTCCTCTTGTTCTGCATTGCCAGGAGCAAGCTCTCAGGTGAGGGCACGGGGTTCAGCTTGGAATGTGCCCAGCAATACAAATAACTACAGTCCCGCCTGCACACTCAGCATTACAATCAAATTTATGAGCCTTCCCAACCACCCTCTACCAGTCTGAAGACCACATTGCGGTGTGCTGCTGCTCAGCAATTAAGTTTCACTCCAAGGACTGCACTTCTCCTTGCCTGGAGTTTGAGAGGCGGTGGGGGAGAGGGAACACGTGTATCAGCAGTAGTTCCTGCAGCCGGAAGAGCTTCGGTTCTGCCGGACTTACCCAGGGCAGACTTGAGTACAGAATTGCTGGCAAAGGGTGGGGCTCCGCTTCCCATCGAGTCCAAGAAAGAGTTGAGCAATTTCAGGTACTCCATGGCACCAGAGAACTCGCTGAAACAAGAAGGAAGGCAAACCTTCGCTATGCTGTCAAACAGGAGATACCAAAGCCTGAAGGCATTTCTCATCAGTCACAAGGCATTTTTAAATAATGTTAACCCATAAAGCCAGCAGAAAGTTCAAGCTCTACAAGTAACACAAACACTGCCGGACCAAAGAGATGGCCCTGAGAGTGGAGGCGTACAGATGCACAGGGAGGAGCAGCCTCACTCACATCTTCCCACGCAGGAGACCAGTGCAGAACTAGAGTCAACCCCGGGACTACAGAGATGCTGGACATGACACGTTACAAGTTTATTACAGGCTCCTTTTCAATCACTGCCCCCAAAAGAGTCTGAACTACACTTCTGCAAGTGACTATTTGCATAAATGTAAATACACATGAATACAAGTGACAACGTGTTCGTAGCATTGGTCAGAGAAAGTAGCATACGCAGCAACGATCTAATTTCCTGGGACAGGCTACAGAGGAAGATCTTGAGCTCCTGCCCCTAGAGGGGGACAAAAAGGCTTGCTGTATTACTAAAGCTACTCCTTCCCATGAGGAGACCGGACTCCTACAAGCATACTGACAATCCATCTCGCTTATACAAATCCTGCTACCTTCTCTCATCATCAACAGCAGCATCTGATCACAAGCATTTGTACTGTGCAAGCAATTAGACCGAACTGCTGTTCATTCTCTGCAACAATGCTAGATCAAAAAAAAAAAAATCCCTACACAGGCAGGCAAACTGGGTTATCTTTTCATTTGAGGCTTTTACCCACACTTTTTGGGGACAGAATCGTCACAGAGCTTCCTGTATATTTACGTAGCATTTGCGTGGCACCAGCGTATCTGGAGATCAGCTAGAAACAGTGCTGAATTGCTGGCAAAGGCTGGGGCTCCGTTTCCCGTCGAGCCAGGAAGGAGCTCAATATGGTTCGGTACAAAAAGCTCCTCCGATCCCCACCTATCGAGTCCCCTTCATTTAGTCACAGAGCTTACGGACAATGACAATTTCAGCCAACATCATCTCTCCCCCTCTTGCCACGCATCAGTTTGATTTTTCACTGCTGGCAAGTGTGGCACTGCAGTTAGAAGAATACTCTCAGGCGTAAGGTAGTGGGCCGGTGGGGTCACTCTCCAGCCTGCCAGACCTTCACGCTCTTGGAGCCCTGGACATAGGTTCTGGTCTATAGAAGTGGTAGGTGTATGCTAATTTTAGTGCTCCTGAACATTAAACTTTATCACAGCAGAGAAAGTGCCATCCATCCATCCAGGACTCACGCAGTACGATGCCAGCCAACACCAAAACTCCTTACCACCCACGGGTTCACCTTGGGCTTCAGAGGTTTTAGTATGAAGAGGCAGAGCTCACCCTTCTAACAAGCTGCCGTGGTCAGACTTACACTGTCGTTTCAAGTCTTTAATAAGGACTAACCACTCGATTGGCCCCAGAGCGCTCAGTCAATAGTTATGAGCTCTGCCTCAGAGCCTGCAGCTGCGGCAAGCAGTCCCCAGCGCAGCACATAAACTTACCACGGCTCCTCCTCCTCTTGTCCCACTATCTCTTTCCTAGTCTGAGGCTTCACGAGTGAATCCACTGCTCGCTCTAGCAGGTTCTCACAAAACGCCTGATGGACTTGTGCAATAGGATCCGCTAGAGAGGAAGAAAAAAAAAAACCCAAATCATTTTACTTGCATGCAGTGATAGCCACCTCCCGATACCATCAAAAAGAATCAAAATGTAGGAGCAAGAGGAAGAGCAGTAGAGGGAAATTCTTGAGGAGTTAATGCAAAGATTTCTAAAGACCAAGTTTTCAGGGCCTTTTTAACCCTTTAATCCATTTGTAAAGCTACAGCCCTTGGCCAAACATCCCTCTGGCACTTCAGCCACTCAGCAAAACTGCAATGATGCTGCTCTGCGGAGGACAAACCTTGGTCACCTCAGTGTCACTCCCTAGACATTCAGGACCACATCCAGCTTGTGTCCCAGCACAAAGACACAAGCAGGATGACACGGCGCAGCAGTATACAAAGGGAAGAGAGGCAGCTCCTGCAGGCTGAGGAGACGTCTCTCAGCTCCACAGTCCCTCTCGCCCATCAAGACCACAGGACAGACATACAAGAGCAAAACAAGACACCCGCTTTTGTCCCAGAGGTGGGGAGACTGCCAGGCTCGAAGCGCTGGGAGGCCACGCACTCGGGACACAAGTGGCTCTCACCAGGGTTCCTTTGCGTGCAGTACAGGCTCTCCTTCGCAGCAGACTTCACCGTCCAGCTTCGCTCCACAAAAAACTTTTGTCCCAGGGGGTGGCACAGCCAACGCAACGAGTCGGGAATGGCACTCCGCTCCGAGCTGCACAGGCTTTGAGCCTGGCTTAAAAAGTAGCTCTGGGGAAAGGAGAGGCTAAGATTGAGAACAGCATCCCGGTAAAGACACACACCACCGAGGACAAAGGTCATACCATAATTACAGCTTGTATCATAATTGCAGGTCGTATTGAAGTTTTAGTGCTAGCGGATGCCCTGAGCTACAGCAACGCCAGCTCGCCGGCCTTCCTAGAGCTCTGCTTGGAGATGTGATGGGAGAGGAGACGACAACTCACCGCTAGGAAGCCAAGCTTGCCTCCACAGCGAGTTTTCAAGCCAACCGCAGCTGTCAGGTGGATTTCTGCCATTGTGCTGGGTGGGATCTTTTCTTCTGCGCACTCAGCCAGATTCACAGCACACAGGGCCATGTGCAAGCCTGAGTAAGCTGAGCTGGAGGGAAGTTTACCTGCACCAGAAAGGAAAGGAAAAGGGTTAACTTTTGATGTTGTAGTACCAGCTACTAAATACTACTGTGATTTGTAAGGCTACTATCCTAAAGAGACAAATGAGAATCTGTTGACATGAGACGTTTACAACATCATATGCCTACTTTGTATGCAGGCAACAGAACAACTTTAACTGAGTCTTCCCTCCACAGATACTAAGGTTGGCATCCACTGCTTTGTTTCTGCAAGAAAGCCCTTCGTAGCTAAAACAGTTATGATAAAATCATCAGCAAATTTTGTCTTGATATATCGATATCACTGTCTTAAAACTGAACTCCTTTGCAGTCCTCACCTATACAGATAACATTAAAGACAAGAAGTTATCACAGAACAGTAGGTGTTGTAAGGGACCTCTGGAGATCATCTAGTCCAACCCTCCTGCTAAAGCAGGATCACCCAGAGCAGGTTGCACAGGATCATGCCCAGGCGGGTTCTGAATCTCTCCGAACAAGGAGACTCCACAACCTCTCTGGGCAGCCTGTGCCAGCGCTCGGTCACCCTCAGTGAAGGGGTTTTTCCTCATATTGAGATGGAACTTCCTGTGTTCCAGTTTGTGCCCATTGCCCCTTGTCCTGTCACTGGGCACCACTGAAGAGCCTGGCCCCATCCTCTTGACACCCAGCCTTATGAGATCGATACCTCTGGTGGTGTGGCTGCATTTCACGCAGCATGGTTAGGCAGAAGGAAGTTTAGCTTGGATTTCTGATGTGCTTATAGCCTATTAACACTGCAAATTGGTTTGCCAAGAAAATGACAAAAATAACCGTTCATAAGGAACATTCAAGCAGTTCCTTAGTACATGTGCACACACCCAGGTTTTCAAAGCACATCAACACCAACTGACAATCTGCGCTCTACACAGCTTCAGAAATATAAATTCTTACGGGAATTAACCCCAGTCCCTGCTTCCACGTCACATTCCCCAAGCAACAGGGATGAAACAAACCCTTAACAGCAGCAAAATGTTAATTGGACTCAATCAGCTTCTGCTTGGGAATGACTCTCAGCCACCTCTGCAGACTCAGGAACATGTCAGTTGAGACACTGCTGTTGCTTCAGCCATTCTTACAGAGCTCTTTCACTGCATGAACCCATCATGTTTTAGTAAGTGGCTCCTGGAATTCATCAGGCTGATTTCCAACAGTAGCTCTCCCAGAAGAGAGAGACCATAGTGCTCTCCCAGCATGCCCAGGATCAGCTCCAAGCCTCCTCATCTGGAAAAACGAGGACGGCAGATCTGCCAACACCACTCTTACCTGTTATGTGGAGCTGATGGAGCTTGTGATACGCTAGAGCCGCATCCCGAGCGCTCGTCTTGGCTTCGTCCTCGAAGCCTGCAGTGGCCTCCCTCGCCCGCCACTGATGAGAAGTCCTCTTCAGCAGCCACCGCACCAGCGACAGCTTCTGCAGGCTATAGCGGATCACGTTCCAGGACAGGCTGCAGGCCAAGTCCAGGCGGGAAGCCGGCAGCGCTCGGCCGAGAACTGACAGGCAAGTTTGCAGGTTTGATGCAGCTGCAGCAAAATCCCCCTGCAAACAACACGACAAGAGGTTCAACAACAAAAAGCACCATCACAGAGACACTTTGGGACCTTCTTGGCATTGGGAGCAAGACAAACATGCGCGAGCTAGGACAAAATGTTTAACTGAGGGAAGTCAATGTAACCCCAGTAAACACGAAGGTAGTTTCCACCATCTTCAAATCTGGCCCTACGCACATCTTTCCATACATAGCTCTGATCCTGCGCTGCCCGAGACACACATCAGTACGAGGTGAAAGTGGCTTCCTGCCTTCTCTAACAACATGGAAGTTTCAGGCTCCCCACATCAAAAGTCCAATGTTGCCTCAACAATGCAGATTACTTCCAAGAGGCTGGAGGACAGTAGACAAACAGACACAGCAGAGGCCAGATTCGGGACAGAAACCAAGACCTTGCTGCCAAAGATTGCTACAAGATATAGCAGGAAGGCACAAGGACAGAATTTAGGAGCCTCTTCCAATGCCGACATCTGTGCCTCGCTAATTTAGGCTGAGGGAAGACAGCGATCTGCTCAAGACAACACCAGCTTCTCTGAAATCAGACAGGATAATCCACTTGAGGAAGACCATGCTCTTCCAAGTGCCGAGCCACTGCCCACATTTACCCACACCCCTTCCTACAAGATACGTTCGATGTCAACTTTACCCGTGCCAAATCCAGGTCCGCTTGCTTGCGATGCCTCCAGAACGTGACGGACGATCTCGAGTGCAGCCGGGTCACCGGCTCTCCATGCACAAGGAGCTTAATGAACACGCTCAGTACAATCACTCCATTCACGAGCCACAGGATCAGCGTGGGCATCATCCAGCCAAACCAACCACCCGCATCTGCAATGGATGTCCCAGAAGGAAAGTTAGAAAAGTTAATCCAGATGCTGAAAGCCCAGCAACAGGATGAGCATGAAGCCAGAAGGATGTCTCGCTACACTTGCCATATGTGGTATCGACTTTTGCAAAGGCTGCATTTTAGTCAGGAAACACCTGTATCAACAGCTCTTCAACTCAAACTCCAAGCCACAACATTCCCAACCAAACAAAAATAGTTATTTTTACAAGACTGATTTATAAAAAACCCCAACTGAGTCAGCACTTAGTTTTCCTAGAATACCTTGTATTCTGATTTTCTTGTCAGGCACACCCATGGGTCTTCAGCACTTTTTCTAGTCTTTATTAACTTTACAAAGCAACACTGAGGCATATTTACGAGTCAGGGAAATGACAGCATGCCTACAGAATTCCCTGCCCTCCCCTAACCTGCTATACTCTAAACTATGAATATTATGGAATAAGTGTATTCAACAAGCCAGTTGCAAGACTCTATAGCAACAGTGTTTCTGAAGTAATTCTTCACTTATTACTTCATTAGTAAGTTAAAAAAAAATAAATCAGTCGGTTACCTTAAAAACAAATATAAAGTGAACACGTGTCAGATACTGGCGAGGACAGGAGGACCCCTTACTCTGAACTACTCTTCCAGGGTCTATCCCGAGAGCCCAGGCTCCTGGGCTACAAGTACGTGCTCCCTCTACCTCACCACGCTGAGCCAAGACTGGTTTTGCTCAAGAAGAACGCTGGACATGGATGTAAACTGGAACTGCATCAAAGTGCTCATGGCTGGCTCTCCTCCCGTGCCCAGCCCTGCAGTTACTACCCCTCCCCAACCATTAAACAAAGGTCATACAACTCCCTGAACACACAAAACCATCCTACTGAATCACGTCAACAGCCTCATCTCATGACCTGCAGCTGTCACAGCTGGAGATGGTCTTTAGGGAGACCACGTAAGCCTGTGCTCTTTCTGTGGTCCAAACTATTCTAGCTCATTACCTGACTCAATGGTCAGCACGTTCCTGCCAGAGCTGTGGCGCACCAGGCTGTCGGACTCTGGGGTTCCTCGGGCATCCAGGAGGGATGTCAGAGGATTGAAGGAAAGGCAAAGGAACGTGAGAGCACAGAGGAGTATCCGAGAGCGATCCACCATACCAAGGGCCACAGGAGGAGAGTCAGGCTCATCTTTAACCTTCAAAGGAACAGGAGTGGAGAGAAAAGTAAGAGGAGGAAAAAAACTGCTTACCATTAGAACAAAAAATTCTTATGCCAAGGGAGGGGTAGGGAAGAGGGAGAAACAGAATGTGTCCTAAAATTTGCCTTTAAGATCAAGATCAGCAAGAACTCTGGTGAAGCTTTCCCTAGCTTAGTAAGACAAAGCTGAAATATCTGAGCACCTTCACCTTCCTTCTGCTCCTAGTCTTTTCAGTTACCACTAACTGGATCCCTGGTTCAGGCTAGGATTAACCTTTGCTGCCCTTATTCTTTTGAGGATCTCCCAGAAGACCCACTTCTTCTGCGATACCTCCAAAACAAACCTGTCAGCTGAAGATAGCTAACAGCCTTCTGTTACTGTGGATACTTACAGTCTCATTAACCACAGCTGATGTCATCATCCATTTTCAAGTCCTCCTGCTTTATTCACAGGACATATGTATCCCTGGAAAGCTACAGGCTCTTTGGATCATGAACATGCGCCGTAAGCCCACAAAGAGTCTACAGGGGCTGAAGGCTAAGTACAGTTCTTCTAGCAGCTAAGGTATGGCTCAGATAATACAGCTCAGGAAGTAGTCTCAATCACTTAAGATAAAACACACCCATGCGCCACCTTCATCCTTACAAAGGATCTCCAATCCCTACAGCTCTATTTGCCAGATGTCCACTGACTCCTGAGAATTAGGAGAATTCAAATTCTGGCCTTTACGTATCCCTGCAGCAGATGCCTTGAATTTGACAAGTGAGGTCACAAATACCTTTGCATCATCAAGGAGTGGGCTTCCCGGCTCTGAGTCAATGGAATAGGGAGAGAAGCCAGCCTGGGATCCAGAGTCAGAGGCCGGAGGAGACATCAGCAGCACGTTTTGGTTGAAGTCATCTATCTTCAGATCCACATCGTTGTCAACCAGACTGCTTAGGTCAATGCCCTTCAACAGCTCTGCAAAAATCAGAGTACATTACGTACATGTTTCTCGATCCTGCATCCCACCAGTGTCACTCGGATTGGATCCATCACCTGAAGTGACACTGGCCGCTATGCAACACGCACATATCTACCTCTGTTGAGGATTAGAAACTGCAGAAAGCATCCTACATTCACGCTGACTACCTTCCCCCCGGCACCGCCTCCACAACTTACTGTTCTTTTGGTTCGCCAGCTTCAGAACCATGTTCTCTTGCCTCAGCTTATGGTTGGCCTGCTGTAGGTATTTAATGTAATCAATGGCTTTTCTCAGGACTCCAGACTTGTGCATCTGCAAGGAATTAAGGCATACAGAAAGCAGTTTATACGAA